CTTCCGATCCTCCTCGGGATCTCCGAAGAATACTTTCTCACCATCATCTTTCATGGCTTAACTAACAGAAATCCAAAGAACAAGGATCAAGCAGTAGAACTAGATTATTATTTTGTGTTAAAATATTGTTTGGCTTCTGGGCATTTCTAAAGGAGAAGAACAGAGGAGAAAGAAACGCGTTGAGGTAGAAAATCAAAATAGAAATAGAATAGTCCAAATTGACAATTGACGTACGGCTCTCATGCCCTCCTTTAAATACAAATCCAAGTTAGAGTAAATTACGAAATTCTCCCATTAATTTTTTTTTTTCATAAATAGCTTTTCATTCTTTAAAATTATAATTTGATACCACTTTTTTTTTTTGGCAAAATTTTCCTTTGTAAGTGGTGAGATTGGAAAAGTATATCCAAGTGTAAGATTTTCTCTTTTTAAAATAGAGGAGTCAATATGTGCATTAAAAAAAAGCTATCATTAATTTATTTTATTTGCATAGGGTTACAAATGATTGGGTTTCGATTATCAAATAAATAAAAGATGCTAGCAATATGGCATGGAAATGGTGAGTGTCACTTTATGCTTGTTTAGCTATTCCAATACGGAAAAATTTATCTCAACTAACGACATTGGTGTCTTATTTTGCAGTAAAATGGACATTTCAGGCCTCAAAACTGACGAAACTATTGACAAGGATGACTTTGCAAAGATCATTATAAGACAAAGTGCCAAACTGTAATTTTTGCAAATTAAACTCATTAATAAAAGAATATTTTTAAAACTAAGGGATAAAAATTAAACTAATGTATTTAAAGGTAAATTTTTCGTTTTTTCCTTTGAGAAAAAGAAAAGTCAATGCGAGAGAAGACTACCGAGTCCAGAACCGCCAATGGGCAAATGTCCATCACGCCGACTGGGGAAGTGGGCCCAAGGTCTGACAAACTCCTAACGTGGGCCATGGGCAATAAAGTAAAATTGTCCAGGGCAATGAGGCAAGATGAATGACGTCATCAAATGACGTTGCGCTTTGAAGGAATGTAGATGTGCTGACAGTGAAAGCTGGCGTAAACGTGTTGGTTATTGTTTTGGAGTTTGGTTTAGCCCATGACGGGACGGACATGACGTACACAGGGTGACGTCATATTGCCTCTGATTCGGCCTCATCTTGACTTCTCTTACTCAATGTTAAAGACTTTTTTTATTTTGTTGTCGTTTACACGAATGATCAATCAATTATTACCAACTCCCATAAACTTAGCTAACTAAACTAGGTTCCCTTCTTTTCACGAATCTTGCCTAAATTTGTGCTCCGTTTGTCTTAGAATTTTAATTTAGTTTAGAATTTTAATTCTTAATTTGTTATAATATTTTTATCTCATAAAAAATTTAAATTTTAAAAATTAGAATTATGACCTATAATTTTAAACCTATAAATTAAACGTCACATTAATTCTCTCTGTGTATTTCGTTGCCCCCATTTCTCACTTCCATTTTTTTTTTCATTTTGAACTTTTTTAATTTTTTTCTTTCCATATATTTTTTTACTACATCTTTCAACTATTAATTTTTATATATTTTCAATATATGTCCTTTACATACTTTTTTATGATTATTTAAAATATTAAAATTTTCTAACTAATTATCATGCTAAATTAATTTATTCTCAAATATATATCTACATAAATATCTTGTTATCTCTAATCTTTATAAATTTCAGTTTAGCAGTGAAGCATTTCACACAAGTTTTTTTTTTTTTATCTTTTTTCTCTATCCTTGGCTTTAAATCTTTTTTTTTCTTCACTTTTATCTTTATTTTTTTTATCTTTTCTTTTTTCTCAATTTTTTTTCTTGACCAGTTGTGTAATTATTATTTTAAATGAGTCAAGCGCGAAAAGCGCACGTTTTTTACTAATACTTTCTTTGAACAGAAAAAGTCTTTCTGCGGTAGGCTTTTATATTGAGAACGCATGTTTCTAATTGTTGAATATGTTCAAAATCACATCATAATTAAAAAAGTATACAATTTCACAAACAGATTTGATAGTTGAAAAAAAAAATCTACCAATAATTCATTTTTCTATATCTTACTGTAAAATAGTACCCAAAAATACTCTAATAAATTTTTTACTTTTTTTATTCTTTAGTCACCAATGTATATAGTTGGGGATAACAAACACTGGTCGCTCAAAAATCAAAATTTTTTGAACTTGTCTAAATTATACTTTCAGCAACCTTAGCTAAAGTAGATTCTCTCTGGAAATAGTTTTAATTAATTAACTTCTAATACGGGTCTTCCCATATTCTTATTATTTCAAATATCTATCAATTAGATTTTCTTTATTTGTGTTTGCTTGTGCACTCAACAACTTGTGCTATTCAACAGCAAATTATTCGAATTCCCGTCAGAAGCTTCAAAACATAAATTGTGGATCACGTAAAATGATTAGAAAGCATTCGTACTAAAAGGAAGGAAAGAGAAAAGTAAATAAACAGTAAATTAATCATGAATGTCTGCTAGCCAAGTTTTCTTATAATGAATAATGATGTTCTATTATATTAGAAGATATTTCTATATCTTTGTTCCAGCTAGTTTTTTTTTTTTTTTTTAATCTTCTAATGTTACAAACTGGTGTTCTTTTTGAAGGAGTCATTATTATTACTAAGAAATAGAGAAATTCTGAAAAATGCATAAAGAAAAACCATGTCTTCGAATAAGTTATACATACATCAGAGGATAAAAAAAAAACATTTGTACGACATAAATGAATTAATTATAATCAACAAAACGTAGAAACTAAACTAATATATATAATCAAATATTAAACATAAACCCGAAAACATAAAAAAATTTGTGGCATACGGACATGGAACCTAATTTCTCAGATATTCATAGAGCATATTATGAGCTATTTTCCGTCAGCGCGTGGGCTTATGCAGTAAGAAAGGTCCGTGATCTATTCCTTCGGAGCGGCCCAGTACTTATCCATGGCCCACCATTCGCCCAAACTCGCGGAGGAAATTTCGTCGAACACCCCCTCGCCTGCCTGCCTAAACCACACTTTGTTGATATGTTGTTCCTCTATGGAACCTTTTATTTAACTTTATCGACAATTCCCTTGTAAATTAAAATAAAAATACATTCAGCGTACTGTTAAATTTTATCTTTTTTTTCGGTTGTTACATTATCTCACCTCGAGAATGTTGTTTCTCACGTTGACCAACAAATAACAAATATAATATGTATTTATTTATTTTCTCCTCTTCTTTTTCTTTTCATTTTAAGTTCTTAGGTTTCTAAAGTTAAAAACTCTCAGAAAATGTCACATCTAACTTTTCTGCTACAGTTAAAAGCTCTCAAAAAATGTCATATCTCAACTCAAATTAAAAACTTGATCCGCGAAGCGGATAAGGCCTTAGTAATATCGATACCAATCAACCATAATAATTAATTAATTATCGAACAAAAATTAGTTGACCCTTCGACACTATCCCAACAAGAAAAATGTATAATTTATCTAAAGAGTGAAGTGTTAAGTGTGTGTATATATATATATACCTGTACATTAAGAAAGGAAAAGAAGCCCGTTTATTTAACCATAGGCCGAATCTGTAGGTAATACATAGACATCAGAAGACAGAAACCAAGAAAATAAGAAGCAGCAGCCAACTGGCTAAGCCACCAGTCGATCGGTAGGTAAGATTGAACTAAATAATTCTCAAAAGTAATTTAAGTTGTTAGAGGTCACAATATAGGCTTGCATAATTTACTTATACATATAACCTTTTTTTTTCTTAAAACTCCTGTTTAGTTCGCTAATTTAAATTTAGTTGATTTGAAAATTCAAACTATATGGTTTAATATAATTCTTAACAAGCAATCATGTCTAGCCCAGTCGCTACATGTGTTAGCCCTTCAGCGAGAGCGCAGTCTCCACCCGATCCTTATAGGTTGCCATCACACTGTGAGTCTGATATGTTAAAACATAATTATAAATTTGTTAAATTAATTACATCAGTATTATATGATCACTAAATATATTTCATTCTACAGCACCCGATGCTGCACCTCGACGACGTCATGGAGGTCGAGGGAAGGCTAAGGGTCACTGATAAATGCACGAATTTGCACTTTTAATGTTCATAATTGTCAAACTATTTTATCAATTTTGTGATTTTAATTTCAAATATTCCTAAATTTAGAGGATTTAATTTTAATTGGATTTATTTTATTTTTCAGGTTTTTGAAGAAAACAATTGGATTTGGGCTAGTTTACCAAGCAAAACCCAAAAGTTGAGCCCAAGAAAAGCCCAATTCAGCCAAAAGCCCATCAGCCCATCGTCCAG